TATGCACCAACTGCACCAAGTCACATTCCTCGTAGGCGTAAAAACCTACTTGGCAATAAACAAAATTCTGATTCTGATTCTGATTCTGAGGAGTGGTAGATACACTAAGGAGATTAGCCATAGACTTGTGCTTCATCCTGAAATAAAATGCATTACTATTATTGCTAGGACCTAAAAGATACCACAACTACAACTGCTAAGTACTAGTCAGTTGAGCAAGTTGGTGGAGTGAGATATGGTAGTGGAGGCAGCAGCACTGCTAAACCTTCATACCCGTATGGGGATGATGTGGCTGGGACAGTTGACCACAGGCAGGCCCTTGTCCATGAGCAGCTGCCTCATGTGTTTGACGTTCCTCTGGTGGGCTCTGCGGAGCGCCTGACCCTCAGGGCTCTTCAGGACCCGGACAGACTCCAGGGCTCCAGAGAGGACCATTGGGGGAAGGGCAGTGGTGAAGATGAAGCCGGCTGCGTAGGAGCGCACTGTGTCCACCAGGGCGGTGCTGCTGGCAATGTAGCCTCCAACACAGCCAAAGGCTTTGCCTGGAACAGATAACAGGGTATGTGAGGTGAGGAGACAGGAAATAAGCATGGAAAGTATATTTGTAACATACTTAACTGAGTAGTTACACTTTATAGTACTTTTTTTATACTACTTTCAGAGGACAGATTGCAGAGAAGTTACCTTGTAGATTAATATTTTACATACACAACATTGTAAAACAATTTGTATTTTTATAGATTAAAATGCCCAATATGATATACTTTTTCTCATATAACTGATATAATAATAATACAGTTATATAACCTATACAATAACATGACCGTTGGAAAACCGCTCTGCATAATGAGTACTTTTATTACATAAATTAAATGGGTGAAACTAGGATGTTTTTTAATTTATAGATGTGTAATGATATGTTTATTGTTCAATATGGCTCTGATTCAATCAATGTAGTGTATGTAGTCTGTATGTTGTGGGGTGCTGTGGTTGTTGAGGTAGCCAATCTCTTTTTTTTGACACCAATTTTTTTTGTAACATTTGAATTACTTTTGTTTGATTTATAATAGATAGTGAGACTAAACTCTCACTGTTTTATTTTGAAGTCCCAAATACTCTACTTTCATAGAGTTAAATGGCATTACCATAATGTATAAAATCATACAGTGAACTTTGTGTGCTGATACATCACTATTAATTTGTTATTTCAGTTTATTTATTTTTTACCAAGTGAACAGCTTTGTAAAGTCAAGTGTTGTAATCCAGGATTAGTTTACACCCGATGTGTGTTTGACAGGGATTTCTACCTAAAACCCTGCAGTTGTCAAAGAGCTACACACAGCACGGACTCCCTGATGATGGTTTTATCAGAACGACCAGAGAGGGAGCAGAGCCGGCATCCAGCTGATAAAACCTCTGCTTCCTCTGATGGGAGCTCACTCCTCTCCTGCCCTTATTTAACCAACATTGGAGCAGTATCATGCTTGTTGAGAGCTATTGCTGCCATGTTGGCAATACGACAGTGTCAGTTAATGCAAGTGGCAGCATATGGGAGTTTGGCCAAGAAGAGAGGCGATTAATCTTACGGCAGTTTGAAGCCGTTTGCCTTGCCCTTCTAGTGTCGTAGTATCATCTTTTATAATAAATAAGACAAAAGGTGGATTTATTCTGATGGTACTCACCTAAGGTCCCAGAAACAACGTCAATCTTGTGCATAACGCTGTCCCTCTCTCCTACTCCAGCTCCATGGGCTCCATACAGGCCCACAGCATGAACCTCATCTACAAATGTCAGAGCTCCATAACGGTGAGCTACATCGCACAGCTCTTCCAGAGGACATATGGCACCTGCAAGCCCCCAGAGAATAAGTTGATAAAAATAGAACTGAGCAATATAGGTAAACAACAGGAACTCTGTGTTGCAAATGTCATCACTGTGTAAGATCTAGATATGATAAACCACATGCTTACACATACATTTACAAATCATGCAACCTTTATATTGAAATTACCATTTTGAGTTAATGTTTTAAAAAATCCTCCTGGATATGTTCACAGTCATACATTCAGTCTGCTTCAGCTTGTGCTTTATAGAGCTGTCAGTGGTGTAATATCACACAGAGAAATAGAGCTGAGGAGGGAAACTATTTCCCCCCATGGGAGACAGTGATGAATGACAGATAATGCAGACTGAATAATTATAGATTGTAGAAATATGAATACTCCCAACTTGGCTTTCTCTCTTTAGCTATTAATCATGAACCCCACTGAGGATGACAGATGGACTTAATTCATAATATACATAGTGTAAAATTAGCAAATTTCAAGTGGCATTTCTTCTTATTAAAGGCACTTAAAACAGTTGATGTGCTTGATCAGAAAACTGAAGAAATAATGGCTCATGTTCCAATTTTATATTCCTTTTTTAGTTTTTGGAGCATTCTATTATTAAAACTATAAATATATTATGGCCAGACTGAGCTGGAGCTGGTTTATAACCACACAGCAACACACCACTGTACATTAAACTACTGTAAACATCATATTACTCAGATCAGTTTGAGTAAATAAATATTTTTTTGATTTACATTTGACTCTTGATATAATTTATTAATGTTTAATCTATTTTTAACTAGGTTTACCCTCCATCATATATCTGATTAATTGAATAAACACATTAAATCAAAAATCACTGTAAATTATCATTTCATCGTACTCACCATCCATAGAGTGCACAGTCTCAAATGCCACTATTTTAGGTGTCTTGGGGTCGGAGCGTTGCAGCAGCTCCTCCAGGTGTCGGCTGTCATTGTGGCGGAAGATGAAGCGCTTGGCTCCACTGTTCCTGATGCCCTGAATCATTGATGCATGGTTCCCTGCATCAGAGTAGATCTCGCACCCTGTACACCACAGAGAACACACCATGAAACCAGTGGAGATGACTTCATCAACCCTGAGATACTAATTAGCCTTTCTACAATAAAAGACATTTGTGATGAATTTTTAAAAATGCATTTTTTCACCTGAATACATTAATATGACCTCTGGCTCCGAGGTCAGAGGTCAGTATTTACCTGGCAGCATCTTAGCCAACGTGAAGAGGGTGGAGTCATTTGCTACAAAGCAGGAGGAGAAGACCAGAGCTGCGTCTTTCTGGTGCAGCTCCGCCAGCTCTTTCTCCAGAGACACATGGAAGTTACTGGTGCCTGAGATGTTCCTGGTCCCACCTGCTCCTGCACCATGCTGGTCCAGGGCATCTCTGAGGACATCCAGAACATAAGGATTAAGTATCTGGCTCTTGATGGTACATGGTCCATGCCATCAAAGGTGTTCTATCTTTTTTCTTACAAATTCAGTCTAAATTGACAATATTCAAAATAATGGTTACAGTCCCACTAATTAGCAAGTACATAAAAGTGTCTTCAAAAAGAAAGTGAGAACCACATGTACATCTACCTTAATAATACAAAGGATCCAATTGCTGGATTCAGCTTTAGGTTTGCTTTTTGTTTTTGTCTTGAGGTGGACTTGATCAAAAGACGTTTGCCTTTTTCTGTCTCATTTTACCTGATTGCACTGAGGACCCGCGGATGCCGACTCATCCCCAGATAGTCGTTGCTGCACCAGACGGACACCTGGGAGCCCTCCCGTCCAGAAACAGAGTAATCCTCAGCAAAAGGGAAGACCTGAGCGCTCCTATTCACGGTCTTGAAGACCCTGTATGTGTGGTCCTTCTTTTTGTCAGCAATCTTCTCAATAAAGAAGCGGTCATAGTCGTAGCTGGGGCCAGCTGCAGGTGTGATAGTTTTGACTTTAGATCACTTACACCACTGAGTGAACAGATATGTAATTACGCAAATATTGAAACATTTATTACTTGACTGGATTATATTAAATGGTTAATATTAGCTCATTCTAACTGTAAAACATACCCATGTTGTCCTTGAGGAGGTGGGTGACAGTGTTGGTTTGAGCTGATGTTGGGAGGATAGAATCCTTTAAACCCTTTAACAGAGAAGTCATCAAACCTGTGAAAGAGGAGTGCAGGTCTATTAGGGTGAAATCTTACTCCTTTCTTCTTTTTGTCTTCCTTTTGATATTTGACGAGTATGTTCACTGCAGCTGGTTACCTACCTTCTTGGACGTCCTCCTGTACTTCAGGGCTGGCTCGGACCATCCCAATCTGGGAGGAGACAAAAGGGCAGCCCTTCGATACTGACACAGCCACCTGAGTAGCCGATTGAGCAAACTGCCTCCTCTGGTCCACTGTGGGAAGTTGGCGACTCTTCAGTTTGGTGGGTGAGACGCTCAGCTTGGCCTCAAGAGAAGCTGGGCCACTCACACTGATCTGGCGAGCAATGATGGGGCATCGATCGGCCAGAGACAGCAAGGCAGCCCCTGTTCTCCTCAAAGCTGGCTTAGGGACAGACTTCAGGAAGGGGCAGTGATGAAGGAAGGCAGCCATTGTTCTGCAGCTGTTCTTAGTCTGAGTTAAGATAGAAGATATGAAAATTTATTTTATTATCTAATCTAATATATCTGTAATATATGCATCTATTTCTTATTGTATTTCTTATATGCTGACGATACACAGCTATACTTTTCCTTCACTTCAAACGACCTCAGTAAATTGCAAGTAAACCCTGCATGGCTGCCTAACAGCTGTCAAGGATTGGATGTCTATCAACTTCCTTTATCTTAACCCTGACTAAACAGAAGTCTTCATCATAGGCCCTGAGAGCATTTCTGAAAAAAGAGCAGCAGTGTATTGGTCCTCTAGCAGCAAATGTTAAGTGAGCCTCAAAAAACCTAGGAGTTTTCTTTGACCAACATATGAACTTTGAGTGGCACATAAAAATCAAAAGTGTATTATCCTTTCAAGAGCTGGAAAATGTCATTCCTCTGGTCATTGTAATTCACTGTTCACCACGCAGGGTCGCTCTTCTGTGTCTTTGCTCCAGTTGGTCCAGAATGCAGCTGCTAGACTTTTAACTAACACGTCATAAGACACACATTACACTGGTGTTAGCTGATCTACATTGAATGCCTAAAGGAATACTCATTGAATTGATTTACATTTTTAACATTTTTATTCACCTATAAAGCACTACATGGGCTGCCACCACCTTATATTTCTGAATTATTATGTCCTCTGACCTCAGTAAGATCGCTGAAATCTACTGACCAAAGCCTTCTTGTGGTCCTGAAATCTATGCTTAAAACTAAAGGTGGCCAAGCCTTTGCATTTGTGGTTTCCACCCTCTTGAACCACCCTTCCTTTAATTATATAAAAAAAACACAGACTCAGTTGATAGCTGCTAAAAACTAACTTGTTTCGTAAGCACTTTATTCTGTCATGTGTTTTTGCCTTCTGTGTAGTTTTTATTGTTTTTCATATTGTTATTTCCTGTTTTACCTTTCTAATGTTTGCACTGTACAGCGCCTTGTAACTCTGGTTTTTAAAGGTGCTTTATAAGTTTACTTACTTACTTACTTACTAAAGAGTATGGATTTTATTGCAGTCAAGATGTGTCAAAGAAACCTTCACAAAATAATTAAAATCTGATTCCTTAAATAGTCAGAATCAGTCAAAATGTAAACTGACTGACTGAGTGACTGTACTTGAGTTTCATCAAAGTAAAATCCCATTATAGTTTATGAAGTTAAACCTGTTCGGGGGGGTAAAAAAGGTGTACTGGGAGCAGTCGGTGCCTACAGAGAGCAGTCGGTGCCTCCTTCAGGGTGTGGCAGGTTGCTGCTGCTTATCTTAACCCTGCAGGCGCTCAAGTGCTGCCCTGACAGACGTCATCAGCTGAGGCTGATTATTACTGCAGTACCTATCAAATAATCCTCTATAAAACACAGCAGGGATGCATCTAATTCTTTTTATAAATAACTTTTATTTCACTGCTGTTAAAAGTTTCTTAGGCTCAGAGGAAAAGATTAACATTCGATGTAATATTCTGCCAATAAATAATCCACCAAATGATGACAAAATAATTATTCATTGAGACTTTAATATGCTGATGAACACCTCTCTGTGAAGTGTAGTTAACAGAGACTAGTTGTATCATTTCACTCACAAATTCCTGCGGTTAGCAGATAAGGCAATTCTTGGAATCTGTGGCTTTCTCTTGTGGTTTGATGTTCTCTTTAAGTTAGTTTGTGAAAAACTAGAGTCCTTAAAACACCAAAAATAGGTCAAAAGTTTATTTTATCTGAGTAATGTTTTTATAGTTGTTAAATACATTTAACTCTTGATCACATGCAAAAAAAAGTCACATATATTTTAGTTAACCACACATCACCCACATCTCATTGACAGTCAGTAAAATTTGTTGAGGGATAAACTGTGTCTATAAATAAATGTTCAATCATGTAATGTGTTCTCCACTACATGAATAAATAAATAAATAGAGCATAAATAAATATAACAATTAATTCTATATTTATGATTACATAGCGTATAAAATTAAATACTGTTGTATAGCAGTGTAGCAGTGTATATAACAATACTAAAAATACTATATGATTATCACCTCTAGTACGACTAAAAATCTTAATAATAACAATAGTAATGCTGATAATAACAATGGTAATAATAGTAATATAGTAATAGTAATACATATGCTACTACTACTACTACTAATAATTTTCCTTGCACGTCGACGACAGCAGGGAGAAACTTCCGCCTCTAGCGAGCGGCAGCCACGCGATTCATAAAGCGAGGAATGCACCATCTGCTGGCGAGGGCACAGCACGAACACACAGCACCCACTCCGGTTAGACAAACAGTTAATACAGCTGCCTGCACAGGGAGTGAGTTTCACTGAGAACAGGCTGAACAAAAGAGAGGGAAAAGCCTCGACTCGACGGGCAGTATTTATCTTACTGAGAATATTATATATTAGGATTGCAATGCAATTTCTGTACCGGTTCAATATTCAGCAGAACGTTATTAAACTGAAGTTGAGTTCTTTTTTTTTTTCTTTTGTTTTGTTGTTGTTTTCTCGCGTTTCTGGTAGATACGATTAATCATTTGCACTACTTTGGGGGTTTGTTGTATTTGAGGAAATTAGACTGTTGTGTCGTGGCACTTTTATGTGTGCTGTGTTATGTGACCTTTAACACAGCAGCCATCAGTGTGCTAGTATAAGAAACACACAGGCTCGTTGGTTGTACTAAATTCAGGGGTGCTGTGTGTAAACCATTAGGAGAGCTCTATTGGCAGAAGGTTGGGGCTAATATTCATAGGTATGTTTGGGCGACTGGGGAGGTGGTAAAATAGAAGGATTGCGAATCACTGTTTACTACCTTATAGCACACACAGTCTCAACAATACTTTATTTCACAGTGCCCTATATTGTGTCTTGACTCTTGAGGATATCACAAAGAGAGAGTTATTGCTATCGCTGGTGTAACAACTCATTCATCACAGTGGAATGTCCACCATGAGTGACCCCCCCACATTAAATGGAACTCTAACAGCATCTCTGCACCTTGCGCACACACACGCACACGCACAACACCAACACACACACAGCACACGCACACACCACGACCACACACACAACACACACCACACACCACACACACACTTCCGCTGGGTGGCCTTGCAAAGCTGAGACCATATGACCAGTCTCTGAGGGTGGGATGGGAGGCTGATGTGCATAAATGCCGTACAACATTGCTGGGACCATAACTGTTGACACTTTCTGACTTCTGTTCTATTTGCTGTTTTGATGTTGTCTCAGGTGCAGGTCAACAGTGTGAGCTCCTCATCCCATGGTCTAAAATAATATTATAGTAGTAATCTATCTTATCATTATTA